TTGCCCGGTGATTACCAAGATGTCTTCGCTCTAAGTTTTAAAACCAAAATCTATCAAATAGAAGTTGCCTTCTCAAACTTTGAGCGAATATATCTCGACAACCATCAACCCAATTTTTGATGGACTCTTTTTATTTGAATTCTACAGATATAGAATTCAAATAAAAAAATTGGTTATCAAAATTGGGTTGATATATATTCGCTCAAAGTTTCTCGACAGCCACCAGGCTAGATTAATAAACTTTTTTTTTATTTGAATTCTACGAATCTGTAAAAAAGGTTTTCATTAAATTTGGCCTTTTGATTGTCGAGATACCTTCGCTCAAAGTTTAAGAAAGTTTTAATTTATAGAAAAACATTGGGCTTTTTGGTTTATTACCTGTATAGAGCATTAGTTATATATCATTAAACTCTTTTAATTTAACTTGCAATATAATTATCAGTTGATTTGGTCAATTTGAAATAGCGTGTGTTAAACATATAGGGTATTCCTTTATTTAAGCATATAGAATAATGATCGTTATTAAATTCTATCCTATTAGAAACCCTAACTATTAAATTCACTTGCAAATAACAACGAAATTATACGTAAATATAGTTATGTGATCCAAATAACTAATTTTATATACACAGTATATTAGCACTCATTATTTATTAGTATGTATGTATACCTCCTTACTTTACATTTTTAGTGCTTACAGTAAATGCTTAAAAATTTTATTCTTTAAAAACAAGGCTTTTAATAGATTGGTATGAACTGATACGTATTATAGAGAAATTTAATTTATTACTTCAATAGTCAAGTGATAAATTTTAGACCATTGTGACGATTTAACTTAAAATCAAGCAATTCATGTCATTCGATTCGTTTTTTCTAAAACAAATCGAATTGAATCAATGATTTCAAATTGTATATTAGGTTCACAGGATATTACTGATATTCAATTAATTACAATATACTCTCGTTATCTGTTATAATGATAATGTCTAATAAATTTCAGATCATCGGTTGGAACTGTTATGTAACTATCTATTTTTCGTATAAGCTTTGATGCTATGAATAGTAAGGATCAAGATAAAGTGGGAGTAAGATACATAACTTAATTATTACATGCAGTCTGTAAAAGATTGAATTATCGTTAGTTATATGACAAGAATGAATTTAAGGAAAATTTTTTTCCCATTTTGTCTGGCAAGTGGTCTAAGATTAAATCTTTTGAATAAAGAACGGTAGCTTTGATTTCTCAAAGCAGGGATATATATATATATAGTGAAGTGATCAGTTCCATTAATAAAAACTAGTAAATTCAATATGTTATATAGAATGACTTTGAGTCAAACTTCACTATATCGAGATTTTAATTAGTCTTATCTACAACGAGGGTGGCTTGTATTGAAAGATCTTAACGTTCTGATGTGTGATTGGCTATGATCTATCATCAGCCATTGTATGCATAAAAATTAATGACCCTTAACGTTAAAAACGCCGATTGGTTATTGATGGTCTGATTCCTCAAATCGGTGGATTACTCATATTGTGCCACCTATGAAATTATAAACTGTTTTTCCAACTACCATTTTAGAAAATTTTCAATGAACGATACAAAATTTCTCTCTGCTTCCACGAAACGTGGAAGTACAATAAATATTGATAAAATTAATGGTCGAATTCCTTCAAAGTATGAATGTATTTTATTATTTATGTTCTGAATTAATCTATCGTTGCTTTCGATTATTAAATTAATTTCTTGATCTATTCATTTTCGTTAAGTATACCAATATATCTCTTTACTTATCTCGTATTATCAAAGATAATATTTGCTCTTTCAACTCATATAGTACGTGAATGGTTTCTATTATGTGGTGTACCCGTTTCTGTTGTCACATTTGGTGTCCTAGGTGGTGCTGGCTTAATGTTATTAGCGTGGCAAAACTTTATGGGTGGTCATAAAGCTCTCAGTAGTACGAAGGTACAATACGTTATTTTATTATTTATTATTTATGTCATTTATTTTAATTTCTTTTTAAAATTTATTAAATTTATTATTTTTATAGTGGCCAAAGGTTGCTTTATATACTTTAATCTATACTACACAAATGTATTTTTGGTTTATCGGTCTGTCAAGGCTAAAATCATCGAGGTAAATTTTTGTAATTAAAAGAATTTGAATTAAAATTTTGTTATAAAATTTTTTTCATAATTGTCTTATACCTATTTATGTGATAGAATTGGCGAATCTACCAAATTAATATTATTCAATTTTGACAAATGAAATAGGACTTTGATTTTAACGCAGTATTCTGATATATGGAGTATATCTTTAATAGCTTTTCTTGTGAGAAATAATTCGTCGTCTAATTTGATGTCAACGGTAATAATAATATTATATTCTTGGTATTATTAAATTTATGATGATTATAGTAATATATATATGTTAAATCTTTAATATTTCATAATTTAGGCTCGAGGTGCTTATCTTACTTTGTCTGCTCTATTCATTTCTTTTATTGTAGATTGTATATATTCCTTAAGTAATGATCTTTCAATTAATTATTATTATTATGCCATACAAAAAATAATTTTTTGGTTTTCATATCAAAAATTTAGAATCGACCCGGCTTAATTTGAATTTTATTCATAATTTACAATACAATTTGTTTTTTTAAAAAAAAAAATCAATTGAATTTTACAATGTAAAAAAAGTTAGCAAACAGATTAGATTATGAAAACCAAATAATTAGTGTTCCTATCCATTATCCGTTTATCCATCGAATATCCGCTTTATATCCGTTTACTATTGATATCCGGATAATTATCCGAATACCTATCAGATTATCCGGATAATCAGATACGGATAAACGGATGAAGGATTTATCCGAATTGGAACTTACAAATAATTAATTTTGCATGGCCTTATTATTATTATTTGCTAGTATATTCATTACAAGTTAATTATTGTTTACTTAGGTAAACCGACTAAGTTTTCTATACTATTGTCACAGGGCACAGACCCTTCTAAATTCAAAGACTTTGATAATTATGAAAACGATGATTTTGGCGGCATAATAATTGGCTATATTTTTATTTTATGCTCTATTTGGCTGTCTGGATATAAGCGAACAATGAGAAAAAAGTTGGCCGCTGATGTAGGTGGAAATCGTCGTCTAATAGCTATCGCTGTACCACTTGGTGCTGTTATGATATCACCATTGGCTTTTGTGCAACATATTATGGTATTAAATGTTTATTATTATCCTTATTTGTGTCACTTTTAATTTATATTTATTTACATTATCATAGTATTCAACAAATTATATAGTGAACATTAAAACTACCATCACGATGTTTGGATTTTTAGGAATTGGTTTAATAATACTTGATTATTTTATTGGTCATTCTTTCAGTATTCATGCTTCACCAATCTCTCATGTTACAACTGGTTGGCCTTTATCTATTGGGAGTGCAATTTTATTAGGATTTCTTTGGTTTTATGGAGAATTTTCAATAATAGATTTTATTTTATGTGGAATTATGTTTTCTGGCATTTATAACCTAATAGCTTCCGATGTACGTTACGCTAATGAGACTCAATTTCCATCTCCTGGGATTGGTAATAAAGCATTCGAACTTCCACTTCATAGTAGTGTATATTCTGCAAATATTTCGTTTCAAGGATTTAGTTTTCTAGAATCACTGGGTGTTTATTTCAAGACAATAATGGATAATGATGATTCTAGACAAATATTTTATTTTCTTTTATTAAATTTAAGCTATATGCTTGTTCAAATTGTTTATGGAATATGGACTAATAGTTTAGGTTTGATTTCAGATGGTGAGTTTTTTTTTAATATACTTGTTTAATCTAATGTTTTATTATTACTAAGTTCTTATTGCTAACGTTTTTGTTTATTTTAGCTATACATATGTTCTTTGATTGTTTGGCTTTAGCAATTGGATTGTTTGCTTCTATGATGAGTAAATGGCCTGAGAACAACAAATTCACTTATGGGTAATATATCATTCAACAATTGTTTAAACTTTTACGAAATTATTATCAGAGTTAAACTAATTTTTGAATAATATTGTAGTTATAGGCGCATTGAGACACTTTCTGGATTTGCAAATGGAATTTTTTTAATCCTTATTTCTATATTCATAACGTTTGAAGCAATTGGACGTTTGATTGATCCACCAGAAATGAGTACTGATAGATTATTATTAGTGAGCTTCATGGGACTTATTGTTAACCTAGTTGGTGTTTTCGTATTTAAACATGGACATCATCATCACGGGCATTCCCATGGACTTGGAGAGCATAAAAATAATTCTCATCATCATTATAACAATTATAACGATCATGGCTGTCACATTGTGCATGGACATCATCATCACTATCATGATCATGGAGATAATGCGAATATGAAAGGTTCAAATTAATAATTAACAATTTTTTATTTTCCATATCGTGATAGAAATTAAATAATACGTTTTTTCCTGACATGTAGGCGTTTATTTACATATATTGGCCGATACTTTTGGATCAATAGGAGTATTAATCTCCACACTTCTTATCCAACAATTTGGTTGGACTGGATTTGATCCATTAGCGTCCATATTGATTGCCGGATTAATATTTATAAGTGTCATACCTTTAATCAAACATTCATCTTCTGTATTAATGCTTACTATTAACGATGAGCTTGAGTATCAAATAACTGAAGGACTGCATGAGGTAAAAAACCATTTTGTATTTTAAATAATGTATTTTTTTAATATTTCATTATTCAGAAAAATTTTTTCATTTCACTTTGATAGTTATCACATATTCATGGAATTATTTCTTATACAATGCCACGCTTTTGGCCGAATGATGGAGAATATTTAATCGGTAGCATACATGTTCAAGTGACAAACGAAGTAAACGAACAGCTTATAATAAAAGAAGTTACAAGAGTTTTAAACTCTAAAATAAAAGGTTTAGAGGAACTAACCATACAAGTTGAAAAGATCGAAGGTGGGTTTCATGAATGTCTATGTAATCCGTGTAATTCTGAATATAGATATGGTGGCGAACATTTTATAAGACAAATGAAAAGAAAAGATTACTAATCCTTGAAAATAGAAGCTTTTTTTATTTTTTTTATTTATATATTAAAAAATAGTTTAGTTGGTTGAAAAATCAATTTTTAATAATTATTGAGCAATGATAGTTTAAGAAAAATTTTTGTAAATGATAGTTCATAGATCAAATAGTTATAACGGTGGTTTTTTTAGAAACAACAAAAAAATTTGTTAAATTGTAAATAGAATTTTGAAAATCATTATAAATTATAAATTTTGGTTAAGTAGATCTTAAAATATCTTTAGCGCATTTTGCAGTGGTTTACAGACCGGTGCTTAATAATATTAGAAATGACTCGTAGATGTACACATAATACGCATAATTATAGTATATTGTTACGTATAAGAATCACTATTAGTTTAGAGGTGATTTTGCATAGTGAGAACTGTTAGAATAGTTCAAAAATAAACTAAAATAAAAATTTAATATAAGCTTTATACATTGTTTAAATTAAAGTTAGTACGTCAAACCTGATTACTTTTAAGTCCGTTTTTTCATATCGATATGTAGTATATAAATCCGAATTTAAACCATTAAGGTTATATTATAAATATATCCGTATTCTAACTCTAGTTAAAAAAATCATTAATTATTTATCATATGGTCGCGAAATAACGCGTTATTTTATCCACCTGCGCGTTATTTCGAGACGCCCATGTGCGTTATTTTTAGGCAAAAGGTCAAAATTTTGAACCTAATGTACATATGTCAAATCACCATTTACGTGTTATACAGAGTGTACGTTATTTCGGGACGCGCCTAGTGGTGTGAGCGCAATGCCGTAATTGGTCGTGATTGTTTTTACAAAAACTAAATTATATCGTGATCCAATAATC